AAAAACGCAATTTTCAGACAATTTGGTCAAAATAGGGTCTTTATGGTGATTTGGGAGAGCTCAGAAAATCACTTTGACCGATCTAAAAAATTGAAAATCCGCCCCCTTGAGAAAATCTTAGATCCGCCCCTGCTCTCATGTAATCAAAACTGCCACCATTTGGTATTGTTTGAAATTTTATATGAAATTGTGAAATTGAAACTGTACGATAGACATTTTTTTGTATGAACGTCCACCCGAGAAACTAATTTAAACGACAAAAATGCTGTTTATTAATGCCTAAAACAATGAAGATAATTATAACAAAGATCAGAACTCACATTTAATTTGTTTCCTGATGGGTCCGTGGAAGTGTCCATTTTTGGGGTCGAACTGGTCCGAGGAGCCCAGTGTTTCGTTCACACTTCCCTCGATGAACCACAGTCCCGCGCTCACGTGGTCTGTAGGGGTCGGCCATTCTAGTTTGTCAATCTTCTCTTTTTTCTCAAAATTTTTTTTCGGTGGTTTTTCACATAATTTTTTTTTCAAACAATAGTTATTGTCTTTCAATCAATCGTTTTTACGCATAAATATTTTTTCAAAGAATTTTGTTACAATTGAATAAATGTTTGAAGAGGTTTGGAAACGCACAGTGTTAATAAAAACTTCATGTCGATACAATTGAAACAGCGTGAAGACAAAGGTTAATTCGTGTTTTGTTAACTATCACCCCCAAATAAAAGGGGAAATTCGTTACATTAAAGGGTTGGAAATTGTTTGCAACCCGGGTCGAGGTCCTGCTCAAAAACCACTCAACTAATCAGGTAACACTACTCAAAAACCGCTCACTCTGAAGCAAAAAAGTCACGCTCAAGCCGCTGAAACCTTCCTTTGAATTGGGCCTAAAATCTCGACTCGGGGTCGAGTACTATCGTAAACGGGGGTGGGGGGGGGGGGGGGGGGTGTTAGTAAGATCCGAATTGGTTCAGTTTCGGTATATCGCCGAGCCCTGAAGAGACCTGGTGCCTTGCTGGGTGTGAATCTGAGGATGGCAGTGCAATGGCCGAGCATGACGAGGGGAAAAGCGACCAGGGTGAACAACACCATTATCACAAGCACCACGTCAGCATTACCCATTATGCCCAAATTAGGAAAGTAGTTTCTACAGTTGGTCAAAAGGTATTGCACATATTTGAAACCATGAATCTAAATCGTAGTTTTAAAACGTACCCGTGCCCTAAACAAGCATTCACAATTCCGATGAGGTTATGGACTATTATTGCTATAAGTTTATACAAGAAGCATGTTCACTGAGTTATGTGTTAGTTTTTGGGTAATGAATTAGCTTATGTGACACATTTTGATGTTAAGCTGATAATGTTGGGATTACATTTCGCAAAATACTGGAAAATGTTTTTTTTTTCAAACAAAATTAAATAGTTGCAATCACTTTGCGCTTGCTGATTTCGGTGACAATTATCTTAATTCAAAAAGAAAGCAAAAGGCTCGGTGAGCAATAAGGAATGTGAATGAGATAAACAAGAAGTAAAATTGCGTAGAGTTTCATGTAAATGATCATGTTTTTCGAATAAGTGACTTCTGCTTTCAAATTAAAGTCGGTGAGAATTCCGTCCAAAGAAGTCAAAAGTAATATTATGACCGTGCATCACGAGATGTCTAATATCGGATGATACTTCTGAGAATGTGGTCGTAACACGACGAAGCCTGAACTCTTTTGACTGTCGCTTTAATCTGCATCAATTTTTTGGGGAAAAGTAATACGAATCCAGAAGTTCCTAATAAATTTTTAAACAATGTTTTTGATCAATTTTTCCACCCTCAAAAAATTTCACTCGGTTGATTTATGGGCCTTTAATGGAGATAATTGGCCTCAATTCAAACTGAATTGACAGTTTCAGGAGTTGAAGTGCTCTGTTATGTTTTGTTTTACACAGTCTCATCTACATGTCGCGATGCTCGACCAAAGAGAAAACTCGATACAGGGGATTGGGTCAAGCAAAAAGTCAAAACATATCTCGAGCACGATCGAAACTCATCTCTTGTCAAGCACAGTCTATCGCAACATTTTTTGGTGGAAAAAGCTGAAAGGTATGCAAATTCGGCCAAGACAGTCGAAACATTTCTGATTTGGTTGAGCACAGTCGATCCCAGTTTTTTTGTTCGAGACTGACGAAAAGCGTCTAGATTGGGTCAATACGGTCGAGCGCATTTTCTGGGTAGAGACGGTCGACACATATCCTAATTTGGTCGAGACAGTCGAAACACACTGAATTTTGGTCGAGACAGTCAAAACATTAGGTTAGCACCTCGACCCGGGCTGTTATAGAGTCTGCAAAAACCAAATATAAATCGGTTAAAATGTTCACGTGTTGGTTTTCAAGAGTACCGAAGTACAACAGTAGAGAAGTATTGAAAGCATCAATTGACATAAAAGACTCTTAATTCAATTGTTTACTTAAGATTAGAGTAAATTTTGTCAACTTGTCCAAATTTTTTCCATTTTTTCAAGTTTAGTTTCCTTTTTTAAAAAATTGAATATTTTTTCAGGGACTTTTTTGTCGGATATCAAAAATCAAAAATGAAATGTGTCGCCATACAATTTGACCGGTTAAAATGTCCTGCCTTGAAAAGCAGACATAAAAGCGATAAACACCCGGTTCTTTTGCAGCCTCACAATGAAACAAAGCAACTGCAAATCAAAGACTGTAGGAATAACTGCTTTTTTTCTACCAAAACAAAAAAAATAGATACTATTGCAAGATTTCCGAAGAAACAAAGCCTATAAAGATTCGAATTAGACAAAAGTACTTCGAAGCGTTCTTGTTTTAAGATCGGATCTGTCGAATTTTATTAATTTTTTCCCACTATTATTTCCACCTGCTCAGCCGAGTTAATTTTTTCCAGAATAGTTTTATTTGTTTCTTTTTATTTTCATAAAATTATGAAATAAGATCTAACAACTTCTATGGGTTCAGGCAAAATGAAAGCAGCAAAACGGATCTAAAAAAAACAGGTGACCCAATACTCTGAGTGTAGGACAATACAATCAGCTATCTAGACGCGGACTACAGGCAAATAAAACATTAGTTTAAAATCAAAAACTAGATGCTGGAACTATTGGAACTAAAAACATTTGTTCATTATTTTGTTTTCATCAGTTATATTTAACTACCCATTATATAAATTATATAAATACTCACTTCTAATTAAAGTTTCTATATTTTTGTCACTACATTGACGATTTGGTGTGAAACTTATAATTCAGACTAGAATACTAAGCAATAAACCAGCACGGTGCGATTAGTAAAGTGGCGGAAATTTTAAATATTATCGACACAGTTAAAAAAAAAATTCCGGTACTGTTGTTTTTTGGCAATGTTGCACTGTCTCGTTTATATCTATATTGCTAATCTATATTTAAGCTCTAACTATCAGATCAGGACAAAACTGATAACGATTGGCAAATTTTAAATCCTGATAACGATTGGCAAATTTTGACAACGAAAGCATAACTGCAATATCTCAAAGTAGCAGTAGTTATGATATACCTGAGAAAAATATTAATCAACTGAGAAATCAAAGTCTGTCAAAAGCAGTTTCGATAACGAGCAATTGGTAAATAATCATCATTGATTTTCACTGAGTCATTAACAACCACTTGTTTTGAACTGGGTATTCTTTTTTATATATGTACTTTTGTACAGTGCTGCTTTAAATTAAACAAACGCATTTTTCTCAAGTTGAGTTCAAATTAGTCAAAAAGTGAAGATAAACAGAAGTTGCTTAGAATTCACCAGAATTAATATGTTGCAATTTTGCAAAGTTCTCAACCAACATTTTACCCCAAAAATGGGTCATTTTTGCTTTTTTTAATTATTCAAGAATTACTCTAAAATTACTGTTAATAAATGAGAACATTATATCACACGAAGCCTCTCACACTTCCCAACTAAGTCTTTCTAGCGTTAAATCTCTAAAAACTTACGCAAATTGTTTAAAATGTTTTTAAGCAAAAATTTTGGGTTTCGTATAGTTAAAATCACACTTCTTGACTATCAAGCAAAAATATTTTTTCTTATACAGTTTTTGGGAGATTTAACTCTTCTATAACTTTGTTGGGAAGTGTAAGAGGCTTCTTGTGATATAATTCTCTTGTCTATTAACAAAAATTAGTTTCAGTGTAATTCTTGATTAATTTTTAAAAACCTAAAATGACGAACTTTTGGGGTAAAATTTTGTTTGAGAATTTCGGAGAAAAAAAAGAAAAAATTGCATCGTAATAAATCTAAGCAACTTTTGTTTATTTCACTTTTTGTCTACTCTTAACCAAATTTGAGATAAATGCTTTTGAAAATTCAAGTTTTTTTGTCCGGATAATTTAAATCAGCTTTGTATTAGTGCTCAATTACTGTCTGTAAAAGATTGGTATTCTATTCAACAAATTATTTCCTTGAAAAAATCGAAGAATTTTTTCAAATCAAGTTGGAACTTAAAACAATCACTTCAAAACGTTTGTTGTTGAAGTCGAGATTGCTACAACTAATAGAGTACGTTGGTTATCATACGCTGCGATCATTTACTGAGCTGTCTCACAAGTTGATAACAAAGAGGTTGAAATAACTGAAAAAAAGGTTTTAAACAAAATATGACTTTATTTATGTTGATACCTGACTAAGATATTGGATTCGTCTATACCTCGTTGACACAAAAAGGCAATAACTTGAAAAAAAAACTATGTTCTGCAAATGCGGTCGGAATATTCTGTGCTACTTGCACAACAACCGGCTATCCTTGTTTTTGTTATAGTCGAAAACGTAATCTTTGTTATAGTCGAAAAAAAGATGTTTGCTTCCGCTGTTTATGATCCTAAAAATCAAATTTTTTCATTTTTACAATTATCGATAAAAATGTTTACTTGAAAAAAGTTTTGCTTTTTTGCATTAAATTGTATGAATCATAATGAGCGGATGTGACGGTAATGAAAAAGACGGTATGAGAATAATAAATTCTTACTTACAAATTAGCTTTGGCAATAGTTGGAAAAGAAGAATGAACGGAAATAAGAATATACATAAAAAAGTCATCGTCTTTAGTTTGTTTTTTCTATTTGAAAGGAATGAATAGGTTCGAATTACTATCTATCTAAAGCACACATCTGAATTTAAAGCCATCTGAAAATTTAAGGAAACAGCGCAGCGTCTAATCAAAATATTACTTCGCCTATGAAAAAGTGTATCAAAATTTTGACATGATAGAAACAAACTATAAAATATCAAAATAGGCCTTTAAAAGTTTTCGTTGCGTGAGAAGAAGAGAGCCTTTCGGGGTAATGGGCAGTGTTTACCACTTAGAGTGATCTAAAATAAAAGCGGAAGAGCTATATAGATCACCAGAAGCGGAAAAATTCAAGGAACGTACATAGTGCCTTCAAACTGATTTGTACGTCCATATGAACTGATATGTGAGGCGGGAGCGGCGGGTCTCATTGGCGAAAACCTTGAGGGTGACGGACACTGACCGTTGACATCTAGAGTAGAGACTCCCATTCCACCAGCGTGGGTTCGAGTCCTGCCTGGGGACCGGAATGACAAAGCAGTCGGAGGCTGCATCATTGAAGTGGTCGTCAAGCTTCTCTCAAACGGCGGTGGGAAGTGGGGGTCCTGGTTTCCAAAGGAGTGACCTTGAATCAATGGAGGCGGTCGGTATTTCTTGTTTACCCTGTGGTCTATCGGCTCACTTCGGGTCCGCGCATGGTCGAAACTTTCCGCATTCTGGGATTTCCTATGTGGGGTGGCCTTCTTGTACTGGCTATTTGAGGAGCGCGGGTTTGATCCACTGGGTTTCAACACACTTGGCAGGAACTTGTACCAAGTCTTGCTGCTCTTTTCCTGCTGGTGTTGCTTCTGCATTCTCACTGGCTGTCGCGGCTGACCACTCTTATCCTCATTCGGTTGGATCGAACTGTACGCTCCGTTACGAGCCTGTTGATCCTGCTGCAGGTTGCTGTATGGTCGTCGATAGTTACTGGCTACATTCTTACTCGGTGCTAGTCTGGGAGGAAGCGGGGGTTGGGAATGCATTCTTTGGAATGTATGTGGCGCTGGCTTAAGCAGCATTTCCGAAATTGATGACTTTGGATCTCGAAAGTTGGGGTTTATAGAACTGGTCGAACTGTTTCCTCTCCTTAGCATGTCAGCACCCGGGGAGTAATCATAAGGATTGTCTCCGAGACACTCCTGGTACTGCACGTTTGACGGGATCCCTGCTCCTGATGATGCTGCAGCTGGAAACTGGAAGTGGTTGAATCCTTGTTGGGGGCTTGAGAAACTTCGAGAAAATGCCACATCTAAACAAAATTTAAATCATTCGGTTTCAAGATTTCAGTTGTGCATGTTGTTTCAATTATGACTTTTGTAAGACCAAAATTTGGCTTCTAATTTTTACTTTCACAGTCAAGCCAATCAGTATAAAACTCGTTCACGCCTCAAGAAGTCTGATGGGTTTTTCGTCAAGAGAGTTAAAAATGGACCGATTTAATTAAGCAAGCATTTGACAAGAAGTTGATTTGTTGCAAAAATGGCTACAAATCACACTGCACAGTTTGAAAAGCTTATTCGATACATAAAATATATATCGCTTTCATTAATTGAGCACTCCGTTGTTCTAGTCACGAGAAAATAAATCGCCAGTAAATAAAAAGTACCAGCTGAAGTGAACCAAACAAACAAATTATTGGCAGTAGTCGATACGAATAAAATTAGTTTTTGAATAATGAAAAAACATGAAAAAAGGTGACTGGTATGAACAAACCTAAGAATAGAAGCACGACAAAAAATTAATAGCTGCAAAAGATCGCTACAGCTTGGAAAACTGAAAAAAATACATACCAACTTTTCTCGTAAAAGGAACAATATTTTGAAATCTTACTCACAACTAGGGGCGCTTCACAATTAGCTCGTTATGATACTTTCAAATGAAGTTAAAAAATTACAATCTTTCTAATGATTTCCAGTCTAAGAAAGCCGAGTACATCTTTAAGCTGGCTGATATTTTTAAATCATAAGTGATAGCAAAGTAAGGCATCGTCAGCACACTCAAACCTCAAATTAATTCTCGAAAACGCGACACCAGTAATAAACCAGACAAAGACCAGAAGATAAAATCTTTCTAAAACCAAAAATTTGAGAAATGTGGTGCAGATTTTTTAACGCACTACTGAAGAGTTTCTCCAGATAAATTTAGAAGAAACCTTTTTTATCAATCAATGCTGCATAATCAGATGTGATTCCCGCGGGGCAATCTCAATTGAGTAATTAGGTTAAAAAACCCACGACTGCGAGGCTAACACAAGAGACAACTACATTACAAAAAATGTATGAGGGCTGTTGTTACAAATTTCTCCAGAAAATTGATTACCTCACAAGAAACGATATGAGTTTTCGGAACTGACTGAAATATTCGCCCCCTTTAAGAAAACAAGACTACTCGTATCTGTGAAAAGCCCTGAATATTCCGACTGTCTATAAACTGGTGTTATGGGTATAAATGATTTTAAGCTGAATTTTAAGAATCGTGCATGGAATTAATAAGACCAAATCGCCTGCCTCATTTGGTTTTGGAACAATTTGTGGTGCGAGATAATTCGCCACGCATAAATAATGCGCGTTTAACTTTCAGCATCAAAGTATCACAGCGCTCTCATAGTCACGTTAGTCTAATAGTGAAAGTTTTACAGCAACCTTGAAGTCAGGATAGTCTTGTGGTGAGCGCGCCCATTCTGGGATCAAGAAGATCTATGGGTCGATCCAGCAAGGGAAATATTTTTGAGAATGGGTCTGAATAAAAAAACACTCCGAGCATATATATTCCTCACTTTCCTCAAAAGTCGGAAAAAAAGTCTTTATTAAAGGAGTTGATTGGTCAGGTGTGCCTTATGTGCTCTGCAAGAGCTTCGGTTTTCAAGAAATTGTTCAAGCAACTCAGAGGATTGCCAGCAAAAGTAGTAAGATACATGAGTTTGAATGCTTTCAGAGCAATTTAAACATTTACCGCAGTCGATATCATTTCAGCAAGCTTTTTTAACTGATCGAATTTGGCCTAAGAAAAACTCAGAATACACGCGCGACGACGGGAAATTTGAAAAGCAGATATTTGTGGAGACAGCTATAATGCTCAAACTTTTTTCACATTCGAAGAAGCAAGTATCATTGTCCGACAGAAAGAATACTCAATCATAATTTGTTTTTGGTTGTTGCGTTTGTTTATAGCTTGAGTACAACATAAAATGACAGTCAGAATTTTACATTTGTCAAAAATATTACGTCACATCAGTATGAATTAGCACAAGCAAGTTTTTTTTAAATCACAATGGTTTAGTGGAACTTCTAAGTTAACATAAATTAGGAAATTGTCGATAAGATTCTTAAGTAACTTACGAAGCCTCATTTTAGCACGTATAATGGAGATAAAACCACGTTTTTCAATGTGATGCGTGCTTTAATAGCAGGATTAACTTTGGTGTGACAGGAGTTAAGACAAGGAGTTCATACAGCACGAATTTTGGTGTTAAGTTATAAAACAGGAATTAAGTTGCTGTGGATTTAAATTGTTGAGTAGTGAAATGACTAGGCAGTAAAATGTAGGTAGCTAAATTGGCTCGCAATTAACTAAAGGACACTAATTTTTTAAAACAACATTTACTAATCGAATTCTGATGTTGAAGTCAGCAGCTATCAAAAATTTAACATTATCTCAATGATTCAAAAAAATCAAATTTCTCCGAGAAAAAAGATCACACTTTGTTGTATATGAACAACCCAAATTTTTTCTTCTCAATTTATTGCGAATGATTTTTATATGCAAGTTGTAACTGCCTGAATAATAATGTGACGTCAATGCCAGAGCAGACTTCAAGTAATTGCGCGACTAATATGACCTCAACGCCTTACTTAGAATCCAAATTTCAATGCGTAGAGCAGAAAATTGGTTTTGAACGAACAAAAACAAACATAGCCATTAGAAATAACATAGCTAAGAATCAACAGTTCACTTTGGAAATTTATATTTTTAACTTTCGAGTTTCAAAAAAAACAAATCTATGTCCTTATAGCTCTTTGAGTTTCAATTATCGCCTCTTTTTTGATTAAAATAGCCCAGTTTGAGGAAACTGGCTCATTGGGTGAACCGATTATTCCGCTGGGAAATCTTAAATTTAAGCCCACATTTGAAACTAGAAATCATTCATGTTTTTTGGCTTCATTTCCGCTTTCGTAGTCGGAGAGCGTAATTAACACCACTACTTTTAACAAAAGAACTTGAATTGAACTTAGAATTGAAAATCAAAAGTCCAACTGCAAAAAAAAACAAATCTGATGCGAACTAATTATAAGTCGAGCCAAAAAATCATTACCTCTTACAAGTCTTTACGACGTTCTTTGACACTTAAACAGAGGGTTTAAATTACTAACTCTGATTTAACTACTTATTTAAGTTAATAAGAAAAAACTTACCATCGTAGGACACCGTGGTGCCGTGGCGGTTGCCGCGACCTCCAATCATGCTCCCATTGGGGTGGTGGAGATAAGTGGGGCTTGCATTGTTCTCGTATATCAGAGAACCACTTCTGTTGTTTGTATTGTTGTTTTGTAGCATAGTGTTGTGCTCGTTGTATCTCGCCTGACATTCTTCGATAACCTTGTCCTCGTGCAGATAGTCTTCTACGTGAACATTCCTCCTTACCCCTCCCCCATTTCCGTCTCCACCACGGATCCCTGTGTTGTTCGTCCCTTGCAGCAGGTAGCTGGGCGAACGGGGTCCTCCCACTTGGTTGTTGTCAGCACCGAAATCGGGCTGAAAGCAAAATCCAAAAATTACAAATACAAAATCGGACTAGATGCTGAAAATTATGCACAATTAGTCAGTATCAGCATATCCAATTCAGTTCAATTCAAACAAACTCAACGCAGAACTCATTCGTTGAAAAAAAAACATGAATAATAATTTTTATCTTAGTTTTTCGAGCAAATCTATCAATTGAATGTAGATATTGATTGAAAGTAAAAAAAATTTGAAACTTTTTTTTGCAAACATTTAAATCAATTGGATTTCTGTTTTTTTTAAAGTGAATACTTCCAACCACCAACTAGAATCAAATTGTTTTAAATCATACAAATAGGTCTAGCATGTAATGAAGGTTCGATACTAAGTTTCAAAGGGTTGATGTTTGACAAGTTTATAATCATAACCGATTCATCTTGAACTGAAGTCTGTCGTGAGAGACCATAGTTGGAAACTAACTCAAATAAAACCTTCACTCCTTTGACAAACAAAAGCCTTCACACTTCTAACCTTACCCGGCAAATATGTATTTCAAAGGGAGGTCGAGTATTTCATTGTCGAAGAAATTTTACTGAGTAAGCAAGTTAATAGTTACAACAAACCGAGTCCAATGAACATGCCACTAATCGTCAAACTATTCCGATCAAAGCCTCCTCCCTGATAATTCTGCAACAAAATTATTACTACTACGGATTAACTTAATCTGTGATTAACATGTGATTAACCTGTAGCTATTATTCTCTTTATTAAACTGTCATGATATTACCTGTCTTTATTAGCAAACTAACTACTAAAGTTATTTAAAAAACAACGAGCTACACATGCGGCTTTCAGGGGTTAATTAACACCATTTAGGTATAATTACCTTCTTAATACATGTAAATGTATTTTAGATATTTGAAATTTTTGGTAGCTTTCTGGATCGCAGTTTTTTCCTCGCACGTATAAGTCTGGATATGCTCGCTTTAGGTGACGAAAGTCTGAACTTTAAACGCAGACCTTGAACAGCGTTTGATCTTCTCATTTTTTCTGTTTTACTCTACTATATTATCTTGATGCACTCATCTCTATGTAATCATAGTCATTCACGTCATAATAGCATCCACGCGGGCTATGTTTAAGACTTCTGACGACGGCCATAACTGGACCGGTGCTTGGTGTTTCACTTCCATCGTTTGGCAACAATGGACTTCTCAAAGGACAGGTCAAAGGGGCATTTATGGTCAAAGGTTCACCAGAGTTCATAACAGGACTACAGGTCCATGGAAGACTTGCATTCAAATGGAGGCCATTAGAGGCCAAAGGAGGAGCTACGTTGATAGGACTTCTCGGTTTCAAAGGGGGACCGTGTTCTAATGATGACCCTAGATGACTTTGACTAGTTTGGTTGTCGTATTTTATTGGTGACCTTGGAGGTACTTTAGAGGGTGTCATCATGTGATGTCTGGGAGACGTCGGGGATTTCAAATCCCAAGGAGTCAGCTAAAAACGTCGAGATAGTTTACACTTGAAATATTAAGACTTGAGAAATAATCAATTTAATTGGTCAGGTTAACACAAAAACACAAAAACGTGCAGCAAAAAAAGGAGAAATGACAGAGGTGACATTATAAGATTGAATTTACAAAATAAATTTGTGACGAACAAAAAGTATTCGGTTATTGGGCATGTAGCGCCAATTGTTACAAACACGGTTATCATTACAAAAGTAGATAAAACTGGAAAAAAATATGCATTTTTTCAAAATTTTTTCAACCAATTTAATTTTTCAAAAAGAAGCCTGCAGCCGATAAAATTGCAAACAATTATGAAATTCGATTCTTTGTTTCTATTATTAAGATTTAAGGATATTAATTGGCTATTTTCCTCGAAAAGGTCATCGTAGAAATGAAAAAATATTCACTCCTTGCTAAATTTGAGTCTGAGTAGCAAAAAAAATCCGACCTTGAGAAAACTTTTTTGAAGCTTTGAGTCTGAATAGCAAAAAGTTTTTCCCGATCTTGAGAAAACTTTTTTGAAGCTTATTTTTCAAAACCAAACGACAACTTAATAGGTTTTTCAAATGATTTATTACTTGATCCCTACGAGTTTCCCTACGCTTTAGTCCCTTCCCACACTAAGAGAAGGATCGGAAGAAAAACAAGAGCAAATGCCTTTGTAAACCTAAGGACAAGTAATTTACTTACTTAAAACGTAGATATCACAAAAAAAGCTGAAAACATTGAAATATTTGATATTGAAACCAAAAACGTGCTTACAACTTATATTCAAAAATTCCAAAAAGAAACGATGCTTCAGATATTTCGACTGTTGAAAAATTTGAGCTTTTTAAAATCGTTTTAGTCGAACAAATGCCGTAGGTGTTAAATATTATGAGCTATTTGCGTACCAACCTAATTTTCTTGTTTCGAATTCCGATGAAAGTTACTGGATACTTATGCTCGGGGTTGAACAATTTCCAGACCGATTTCGATAATCAAAACACTAGTTTTTGACAGACGACCTTAATTTTATAAAAACTGAGACCAACCGCACAAGACCCCCGGTACAAAAACCATAAATAAAACGTCGATTCGACTGATTTCGTAGCCTATCAAAGTGAAAAGGAGTATTTTTTGTGCGCATGTATGAAATTCATATTTTATCCAGAATTCATTTTCAGAATTAATACTTAGGGAGGGCATTCTACGGTATGTCAATTAAAAGGGGAGACAATATCAAAAATCAAGTGTAAAAATTTGAATTGTACGAAATTAACATGACCGATTAGCTAGCCTCATTTCAATTTGGAACGATTTTTTTGTGCGGGATATTCCAAAGCATTGCAAAATTGGTAATTTTCGAACTCGCAAAGCTTTGCAAAAAATTATCGGAGGTAAACTTTTTTTGTAAATTGATTTTAGGGAGTCGATATATTCAATGGGGGCATACAATTTTTTGTTAAAAAATTATTAGTTTGATGGCAAAAAATTGACTGAATAAAAAAAACATCCCAAGCATAAATATTCCGTTTTCTTCGTAAGTCGGAACAATAATCAGAGAGATTATCTATCTGCAATCATTTTGCTTCGAAGTAGTGAGGGGCTAAAAACTGTCAGATCGGAAAACCTAATGTGCGCTGTATTTCAATGCATATCGCGTACAAAGAGAATTAATTTGCTATCAAATTCGTTCCAAATTGAACTGACGTAAAACTGTTAGTCTAATGACCTCATTAACACACGCAAAACTTATCGAAATTTTTTAAAAGTCAAATGGGAACCTCGCTTGTTGGATTTTTTGAGAAAAACTTTAGGTCACACATTACTGATAACGAGGGATTTTTTCAATTGAACTCTTTCTTTATCCAAACACTTTCAAAATAACTTAAAAACTCAATCATAACCTTCCGGCTTCAATCAAGTGCCATCTCGTTCATTTGTATAAATTTCGACTGTAGGACCGAGTTTTCAAATACACCCTTAATGGGGGCTTGACAATTGTGTATACAGGCAATTCAAACGAAAAATTCTGGGCTGCTTTATGCAAAAGAATTTTAAAAATTAAAAATTGTTAAGCAATGAACGCTTGCTCCGCTGCGCTTACATGTCTCCTGCGGGTGATGTGAGTCAGTGCTTGCAGGTAATCTATTTTGTTTTGTTTGAAACTCAAAACAAAAATTTTAGCTTACTTAAATAATCTGCTATTTGAAATGAGCGAAAAGAAAGTTTTTTTTTGTCTCTAATACATGAGATGGTATTTGTCGTCTCAATTGCCGGTCCCCAGCTTGGGAATATGGATGTTCTGAACTCCTTGAACTATATACTTATAGCCAGGGATCAATCCAACACATAAAACATGTCAAAAAAGTCAGTCTAGCTATTTAGTTTTTAGTTCAATTAATGCGTTATTAAATGCAAAATATATCACTGGCTAATTGACATTATGTCGAAGTGAACAATTTAAGAAATGATACTTTTTGAAGTTTTTTCATCATTTTCAATCAAAAAAACCATTGTCGACAAATCACAGGGCAATAGAAACATTGAAATCTGAGTCCTGATTTAAGCAGCATTGTTCAAATTACAACTCGAAACAATTTGTTTGGCGCAATCAGCAAAAGCTCAGACAGGCAAATAACCAACAATCAGCAACAATCAACTACTTTAAGGCCAATGAGAACAAAAACCAACACTAATTTTTTTTTAATGTATTGCAATTAATGCTCAAATATTTATACTTAAATATTTAGTAATCAATACATCTGTATTTATTGGGGGTGATTACACAACAATCAAACATGGCAGAATATCATATCAGACATGCATTGAGGAAATACCATCACGTGACTCACAATTGGGCACCTGGGCAGTGCCGCTGGAGGGCGACTTGATATGTCATTCAAATTTGGCGCGCGGGCATGTTTGCCTTCCTGTTCAAACAGCAATTCGATTAACTTGACAGAAACGCTATAAAAGCATAACTGCAATGATTGCACTGTGCAATGAATGAACAATGCAACAATTGCACTGTGCATGATTGTTCTGTTAAAATGAGAAATAATGAGTATAGCCAGGGGCGGATTTAGGGGGGGGGGGCGGGGGTTCCTTTGTCCTTCTCCTTCAGGGATTCGACCCCCTGCCGACCCAAAGGGTCCCCCCTTTGATACTTTTTCAGAAATCCATTTTTGGCTGACCGACCCTAAAATTTTTCTAAAGGCGCCTTTGGCGCCAATATATACTAACTTTGAGGGGGAGCGCGCGCCAAAAAAACGCAATTTTTCAAAAAGTGCCCAAAAACGGCTTTTTCGACTGTTTTTTCAAAAATTTGCCTGCGGCGCTGAAAATTTTGCCAAAATAGGGATAAAACAGTGCTTTGGGAGAGCTCGAAAAATCAATTTGGTCGACCTAAAAAAAATGTCAAAATTTTGGAAAGTTTTTTGAAAATCCGCCCCCCCCCCCCCCTCGAGAAAATCCTAGATCCGCCCCTGAGTATAGCTATTAACTAGTTTATGCTAGACATAAAAGAATCAATGACATGAAAAACAAAGCTGGAACACATTTTGGAAATTTGTTTTTAATCAGAAAAGCGTATTAGTAATAATTGGGTCATAATCAACTTAGAAAACTTTTGAATGGGCAGTCAAAAAAGAATGATTGAAAATAGTAAAATAGAAGCGAAAGAGTTATATAGAAGCGACTTAAATTAGTTTTTGGCAAACTTTACGCAGGGAAATCATTTAGGACAGTTTGAAGTAAATTGCTCGAAACAATGTTTCGTCGCGCCCAATATACCCCAGTGAGTTTGGCTGTGAACTTGATGGAATATCACGCCAGAGGGATCGAATAGCTAATAGCTCTTCGGTCTTTCAGACAGGAGATCAAATGTCAATTTGATGCCCCAAAACTTGAGCGTGGATGTGGGCAACTTACGTCTACATAGTCGCTGAGAAAATCGCCCTCCTCCATCATTTTGCGGAAGGATTCCTTCAGTTCTGTGAACGTAGGACGTACTTGGGGCTCCGCCAGCCAGCCTGTGAAAAGATAATGATACATAGTTTGCAAAACAGATGACGTTCACAGCAATTATCGTTACTAAAACACTTCTCAAACACTACAAATGATGACAATTCGGCGGCGACCGCGAGATTTTTCATGGGTGAGTGCAATTTTTTAACTGAAATTTTGAGCATTTTTAGGCAGTTCAGAGCTATCTTTAAAAATCTTGTGGGAAGAAACAACGTTTCTGTTTTAGTTTGCCGCAGAAAACGAACAAGATGTGGTTCTTGATGGCTCATTTTCCTTATTCCTTCGCTTCACATTTAATATCCTTTTTTTAAAAAAAAACGACCGGTTTTAGAGAGTTCAGTTTTCGTATCAAATAATTTCGGAAAATCTTACATAGTCTGCATGCTAAATGTGATAAAATGTTTTTCTAACTATATTTTTCTAGCAGGTGCAGATGAAGGCGGGGGGGGGGGCGTAGTTGCGAAAAAAGCCTTGATGTTCTAGACTGCACCCTTAAAAAGCCCTAATGGCTCACACTTGGGGGGAATCGTGACTCACACTTCATGATGAGCACGTATAGTTCGAGACTGCAGCCCTCCGGCTGGGGCAGTCTTCCGCCGTCCTTCAAGAAGTCAGCCATGTGGTGGGAGGGAGTGTCCTCGTATGGCTTCTCCCCGTGGGTGAGTATCTCCCAAACTGTGATGCCCAGAGACCACACATCTGTCTGGTGGCTGAACTCGAAGCTCACTAGAGACTCAATAGCCAGCCATTTGGTCGCAAACTACACAACAAATACACTTATTTAAAAAAATTATTGGACTACACTGGAAAATGGACAATACTCCTAATGTCAGTCCCATAAACAACCATTTTCATCGAACTATTTCATTTCAATATTATGCAGGATTATCCGGACAAAATTTTAAAAAAAAAACGCATTTTTCTCAAAAGTAAACGCATTTTTCTAGAAATAGATTGACATGAGACAATTCATGATCAAGATAACAGTTGCTTGAAGTTTTCTATAAATATTATGTGCAAAACTGTTATAGGACCAAAATCTAAAACTGTTATAGAATCCAACCCAAAATCCATGTTATAGAATATAAACCAAAATCCTTAAAAATGAGTCTTTTCTTTTTGCTCATTTTAGTCAATCAAACATACGCTGAAAATAAGGGGTTAATTGCTCAAAACTTTACATCAAAAATGAACTTCTTATGTAGCCCAACAAAGCTGTATAAAATTATGTAATTGTTTGAACGCCAAAAATGCATAAAAACGTTCTTTAATTCAACGAAATCATTTTATGTTAGATTTATGAAAATAAATTCTGGAGAGGATAAGCGAAAGGGATACACGATGCCCAATTGGAGCCTACCATTGAACATCATTAGTCACTTTAACAAATCAAAGATACATATCACAAAAGTAATATAATATTAAAACATAAATAAATTACGGATTTCAAAATTGCTTAAGAAAAATTCCAAGAAGTGGTCGAACCTAGAGAACGAAAAGCAACAAGACAAGTAAAAATCCAGTCTTGTTGCCACTATCGGAACAACAATCAAAGCAAACAAAAAATCATGCAGAAAAAATTTATAAAATCAAAAAGAAAAACCATAACTTTTTTTAAACTCCGTTAAACGTCAAATCGAACTCAGAGGCCGGATAGCACACGATAAGAACCACTACAACCTTGCAATCACCCATTTGCAATCAATCTATTTTTTCCTCCTTCCCCTTTTTCTAAGTTAAAATTGCATCAAAAAATTCAGAAAACGACAATTTCTTGAAAACCGAGAAATTTTCAGAGACCCATAAATTCAGCAAAGGTTCACAACCCTACTTAACACCTTCAACAGCACCCAAATAAGGGCTGAACATTGTTTTAAAATCAGAAACTAATTTTCGAATGAAAAACGGGTAAGTTCTGAATTTAAACCCGCCTTAAACTTTGTTGCTACAGTTTTCTTTTCAATTAACCCCAAATTTAAAATGAATTATTGATTGACTAAAATTAGCCAAAAATGTAACACAACAACTAACGAAGCTTATAACTTAGTTCATCAAAACTTTCCTAGCCGATAGGAATTCGAGACCAATAAATGGCAGTCGGAACATTGCGTGTTCTGCCATAATATACCAGCAGTCTTGTTCTCTTAAAATATCAATTTATTAATAAACTTCTAAAGGGCGTGATCTGAAAGTTCCAAAAGACTCGTTCGTATAGCGTATAATACCGCCCGAAGCAAAAGAAGATACCATCCAGCTTAAATTCGGGAATTTTTTGAAGAGTAACCAACGTTTTTGGATCTGTTTTTCGGAGGGTTCAGGGATCTGAGTTAGTTAAAAGGGCCTTGATTAGTTGAGAATTTTCGAGAATTCGGTCGTTAGTGCATGAGTTTAAAAAGCCCCATTTGGAAGTACTGACCTTTCCTCCTTCAACTGTGGCGGCCACCCCGTCCTTGAGTATTTTACAGAGTCCAAAGTCGGATATCCTGACTTGACTGCTCGTCTCCACCAACACATTCCTCGCAGCCAAGTCTCTGTGCACTATGTTTTTGCTCTGCAGATACTCCATGCCCTCTGCTATCTGACTGCACCACAGAAGCATGTTGTAGGCCTACATGACACACACAAACATTATGTCAGTATTACATAACAACACTACTTATTACTTAACATTGCCTATTACATCACTATTATATCAAAACAACATTACATGAAGTTTCATCGCAACATGACGTATCATCGAGAAAGCTGGGATTTGAGATTTTTCAAGAGTTACTACGATTCTTTTAGCTTGGCAGCTTTAGTTTTTCTGATACCATGTAAACTATTCTGTTAATATTTTCTATACTTGAAGCATTTTTTGGAAAAACCCTTACTGAAAAGGCTCTCATTTGGCGGACAAAGTAAAACGACACAAGTCCTTTCCTTCCAATAAATACCGATTGCTACCAATTTTTATGCTGTTGTATTCTTGACTATACCGACATGTAAGTTTTTGGTCAAGACATCGAAAAAAATCTTGCTTGAGTTGAGAACGGTTAAGCACATTTTTTAAATTGTAGATAGTATTTCAACTGCATCTTAGCGTCACATTACCTTTCCAGGCCTTTTTGTTGGTTTTAATCAGTTTTCTTTAAAAGACCGCTCAAAAACCGTTTTAAAACCGCTCAAATCTTGCTTGAAAAACCGTTCAAAAATCACCGCAAGAAATGAGCGGTTTTTTAAGCAAGATTTGAGCGGTTTTTCCAAAAAAAACCGCCCAAACCGCTCAAATCTTGCTGGAAAACCGCTCATATCTTGAGCGGTTTTTGAGCTGGCTTTCGACCCGGGCGGTATTTTCTGGGCTGATCTGTTGCCTCGTTCTCAAGGAACAAGCACATACCATCGAGGGAATCGAAACAGCAACCTCTTGGTTGCCAGGCGTACACACTAACCACTGCACCTCTTGTTTCACTTGTAGTGCTTTGCTCACCTGTATGGAATGTACTCTGGCCATGTAGTCTATGAGGGATCCATGGGGCATGAGTGGTGTGATGAGGAGGGGTTTGTCAGCCAGACAAATGGCCACCACACTGACCAGACACTTGTGTCTCACCAAGGCCATATTCTTCGCCTCCTGAAGTTTCAAAATGTTCCATTTGCAACAATCACTGGTTACTGTGCAAAGAGTACGAAATGCTCGATCATTTTATTGCCCAATCACGTAGTTAAAAAGGTCAACCGAAACAATCAGCAATGATTCAATATTGTAAATGGTAACGGGGGGGGGGGGGGGTAAGAAGTAAGAAATAAGTATAGGTATGCATTAATGGGGAAGGGGATTGTGATTGGGAGAGTGATAGTGGATGTGGATGGTGACCTCGATGAAGTTCTGCTGCTGGATGCCTGAGGTGTCTATGAGTGTCTTCACAGCCACCGGACACTGTCTGTTCCGGTCGGAGGGGGGCAACCACAAGCCCTTGTAGACTGTCCCGAACGCCCCACTGCCAATCACACTTCCCAACTGCAGTTCCTCCAGTTTGATCACCCTCAGTTGGGGGTAGTCGTGGTCGTGAATAGGGTGGTCAGGAGTGGACGAGGGACTGTGGAGGACCTGTGCCAAGACAAAAAAGAAGGGCATTATATTACATCAGGTGCTACATTTGTTCCTGAATTATGTATAACTTATTCAATTCGTTTCCAATTAGCCAATAAACCGACCAATTTACATCATCATCATCATGTATAGATACTAATCAACATTAAAAAATATATATCTTAAAAGGGTCAAAAATTAAAATTAAGCAATTAGAACCAAAATTCAGGGGTGGATCGAAGAAAGTTTTAGTGGATTAGCTAATTTTTAACAACTTTGGAAATTTTTGAGGACTTTTTAAGGTCGAAAAGTTTGTATATAATGGCGCCAAAAAATGAAGAATAACTATAGAATCGGATCAATTGCCTGGAAATGGATGTCTTAAAATAGTACCCAAGGGGACCCCTTTTGGTGGCAAGGGTCAAATTATTGGGTCAAAACCCGATCTCTTGGGGTCAAATTACTCCTTGTATCCACTTGTCAAATTATTCTTAATCGTTTTATCGCGTTGAAAAAAAAATATATATATATATAGTCCCTTCTTTCAAAATTACTGAGAATTTTTACAGGAGCGGATCTAGGATTTTCTCGAGGATGCTCATTGTCAAAAAAATGCTGAAAAAACGTCTTTTCGGCACGTGCTCCCCTTTTTCCGTACAACACTTATATAAATTGGCGCCTAACGGTTGATCGACCAATAAATGCAGGGTAATTCGATGAAAAACTGTTGCCGTAAAAACAATTTAAAACAGTGACACTTTAGGTGAAGAGAATGCCGTAGTCACCCGATCCCTAAAATCCCCTACTGGGCTTTAGTGATTTGTACTTAAAGAAGAATGCCTACCCTATAGTCCTATTATTGCTTACTAAACAACCTTAAGTCATATTGACTCAGAGGTGAAGCTGTACTTCGCAAACACAAGTGGAAAAACGAAACAAAAAAAAAGCTGCTCAAAAACCTCCGACTTCCATATTAGGAGTCTTGCATCCTAGGGTTATTGAAAGTTTGCTAGCCACCAATAAAGCAGCTTTAGATGCTAATAAATTGAAGTTGCTATGCAGAAAAAATGCCACCATCTATGTATAGGCTCAATGCGTCACTTAGCTATAGTTTAAAATGTATACAGGGTCGGCAAATTGTATGTTATTTTCGAAAATAACAAACTAACAGTTGACTATTGAAAAAAAACTTGTTATTCATATTTATGTTAAACTGTTAAACAATTCAACGCGTTCATAAGCATCAAATTTCTTAAAGAGAAATGCCAGTTTTCCCGCTTTCTCGACGCCAAGTTAGGCGCTGAGCTTCCGATAGATGAAAACATCACATTGAAGAGTTCCGAAAATAAC